ATAACACTTACAGACACACCCCAACTGAACCCTTTTTTAGGTTCAATCGTGGTGCGACAAAGGTTGATGATTCTGTCTGACTAAATTCTCACCAGCACTTATTTTGACTTGCAGAATCAGGACCCTATAGGTGATGAACTAGTTCGACTAATTCGGTACAAATGTGCATGTACATTTCATTTCATAATTCATTTACATTCACATATATTTTGAAGAGTAAAAAATTATATTACCTAAAATATATTTATATATCTACAAAGAATTATTAAATCAAACATAATAAAAGTACATAACCAAAAATATGTACAAACTCCTAAGACTATAATGCAAAGGCTTTACAAGCAATATACAGTTACTTGCCTTGGTGCTTATTACCCTTTTTTGAAAGTCAACAATGTAGAGTGAGCTACAATAAGCTTAGTAAAATAATCAAGACTAAAATAAGATTATATACACGGAAAAGAAACAATGTACATGCTTTTTTGTAATTTATTTACATACCCACTATACATGTTACAATATATTATAATTGTATAAAACATGTAAAAGAAAAGACATGTAATACAAGAAATTTTGACTGTTGTATAAAATATGTATTTCATGCATTAATGTGTAATCATAAGTATATTCATAAGTATCACCAATCTAATAATAGAAATGCTACTTGTAATTATATAGACCTCAAGTATTTCTATGTCATGTAATTGGATCGTCACCTTACCCAAAGGCTACATCAATTGTTTATAAAGGTTAGTCCCCCCCCCCCCCCCAACATTTTATTTATCAATAGCTATTATAGTACTAACAATTCACCATATTTTGTCCCGGTTTGATCTCAATGGTTATCAGAGTTTCGTCTCCGTTTGATTGCCATGAGTCAGGAATCTCAACGTCCATATCATCTGTACTTACAATTATTTATGAAATAACTTACTTATAACGCACCAATGACATTTTTTAAATCATAATTCTTGTAATAAGCATTCGTCTGAGTCATTTTATATATTATATGAATGAATTATAGTAAATGAATTATAGTAAATGAATACTTAAAAGTAATAATTTATAAACATATTCATTAAAATCATAGCATAGTAAAATCATGGATATCCTAAGGAACAAATCAAGTTTGTATTCGTATGGTTATGCAAGTATTCATGCCAATATGCAGAAAATCTAAATGTAATAATGTCAAACATAATCACATGGAAACCAACAGAGTTATTTTTTTTAAAGTTGGCATAGGATTATTTTACCTTAGTCGACGGAGCAGCCTTGTGAAGAGTTATCCCAAGCTTACCTCAAGCTCACCGCCTAGTGTAAAGAACCTAGAATTTGTAAACCTCATGGATTCACATGACTTCTTCACTTTTATCATGATTTAACTGTAAATTTAATTTACTTCTCAAATAGACTTCTCAGCATAACCGGCCCTTCTTTGATACTTCATATTTCTCTTCAATCTTCTTTTATCTAACCTTCCTTTCTTCCTCTTACAACATTGGTTTACTTGTAAATAGCCCTAACGAGAGGCTAAACCCCCATTCACAGCTTCTGAGACTAGTTCGCCTCATGTTACAATGACCAGAAATAAAAGGGTGCTTCTATTTGTGACAAACATCAAGATGAAAATATAGGGAAGGAAAGAATTGTCTCAATTAGTATGATTCCTCTCAATTAATATGAAAGTGAGATTTCTACTTATGTATTTCACCCCAAAAACCTAAATCGCAAGTGTCGGCTCCTTGCTCAGTCGTTTGCTGCATCTATTCAATCTCGCTACAGTACTTAAACAGAAAAACAATCCAGACATGCGAAAATAAAGTGAGGGATGATGGAAAATTAAAGGAATGCTGCTTTTGATGTGATTCAATTAAATCTTAGTCATGTGATAAGATCCAGTTGTTGCATGCGCGAAAAAATGCGAGAAAAGGGTCAGGTGGGAACAGTAACGAGATATTAGGAATTTAATTAAAGGCTTAATTAAGGTTAAGTTTATACTTGTAACAATTTATATCTTCCCATACATTTACAATTCATTCAAGTGATAAATATTAAATTGATGATTTGACGTGTAAAAATTAATAAAATTGATCTGGTTGAATTTTGGGGATACGAAATTGAGGTATATTTTAAAATTACCAAACTTTTACATGCTTTAACAAAATTAGGTATTACAACTAGTGTTCACCTTTTTTTTTCATTCTTCATCATTATTTTCTTTGGTTGCTTCTTCAATGAGAGGAATGATTCTGCGATTGGAGAAACTAGAACCAATGTGGCCAAATCCCAAGTCCTGAAATATTTGATGAGTTGAAAGTTTTAAATAGATATACTCGAAATTTCTCTAAAAAGTTATAACCTATTTTTCACACATTTTAAAAATAACTCAATATATTTTTGCAAACTTTTATAATTCATTTCCATCATTTTGAAATATAGAACTGAATCTGAATTTCAAATATACAAAAGTTATTTAGTTAGTTGAAGAGGAAAGGGATGGAAGAAAAAATGAAAAAGAAGAGGAGAAGAGGAGAAGAGGAAGAAAGAGAAGAGTAAAGTTCAGGTAAGGAGAAAACATGCGAACAAAAGAGGAAAAGGGAAAAGATGAGGAGAGAAGAAGAAAAGAGCGGAAGAAAAGGAAGAGAAGAAAAGAAGAAGAAGAGAATGGGAAGGAGAAGAAAGGAAGAAGAGGGGAATGAAAGGAAGGAAATGGGGAAAGCTAGGAATTCAGGCAAGAATTTGATATTCTAGTCATCTGGATCCATTCCTACATCGAACTCTGCCAGTATCCCTGTAAACTCCCTTTGTGGATTCCTTTCTTGGCTTTATCTGGTACTGAATTCTAGAGCGGCGGGGCCAAGATTACTTATCACTGACGTTTTCCCTGTAGAACGAATTCAGATCCTTGTCCCTATCTCTCTTTCGAATCTCCAGATTGCAGTCGAGGGTAATCTTCCATTGAATTCCAACATCAATTTTTTGCGAGCCTCTGTTGAAGCCGATTGATCTCTCACTATATTACCTCTTGGGTAGGTTCTAACATGTATCTCCGTGGTGGCATGATTAGAGTTTGGAATTGGAAGTGGTAGTTGAGAATCGGATGAAAAAAAATTTGGTGAGGGGTATGACGGATGCTTGGAAACCCTAGGATAAGACTAGGGTTAGACTTACCATAATTCAATTGGAAACACAAAACAGAGACAAATTTTATTATTCAAAATAGATCTGATTACAATAAAAAATCAAATGGAACTAGGAAATACAATAACATCAATATTCAACTAGCCGGGTAGGAAGATCCGGGGACAGTAGTGGTGTCGGCGTGCTGATTGATGGCTGAAGTGGGATAAAGGTAAGAAATAGGTGGCGGGAAGCAAGAGAAGAGGGAGGGGATAAGAGGTCAGTGACTGGATTTGCAGAAAGCATGTAGGGCGACCGACATCTATAAAAGGGAAGTAAAGGGGGGGGCGGGGGGGTGCTAGGGTGGCTGGCGAGGGGGGTGGGGCAAGAGTGGATTGGGAACAATGGGAGAGGTGACCGACGATTAGGAGTTGGTTGGAAGGTTGTATGGAGACCGACGACTGGTATTGGGTAGGAGGGGTTAATATGGCTGGCGGCTGGATCACAAAGGTAGGGAGCGAGTGTCCGGTGGCTAGGAGCAGGTGTGAAGGTTGCTGGACGACCGATGGTTGGAACAGGGAAGGATGGGTTAGGGTAGCCGACTGCTGAATTAGAAAGGAGTGGAGATTGCGGCTGATGGCTAGGAGCAGGTAGAAGGGGAACATGGATGGAATCGATGAGATAATCATCACCTCGAAGCTAAATACAACGGAGTACCAGTTGTCCTCGAATACAACCCTAGTGAAGGGAGATGCCTGTAGGAAGAAATCTGGAACAAAACCAAGAATAAACCCTAAGTCAACAAGCTCACATATTTATAATAGATAGGCTGGAAAAAGTGGGGCAAAGGGCGGTAGTCCAGCCCACTAGCTGGCTTGCCGGAACTGGTTGGTTAAGCCCATATTCCCTGTTTCAGATAAATTAATGAATGATTAATATAACCAAGTAGAATTTGGTGGATGTGAGAATGTGAACATGTATTTGCATCAAAATTTGTAAGGATAAATTGAGTAATGGATACACTTGAGGAAGGGTGGAAGTAATATCAATTCAATAAGGTGGATTCAATAATTTGGTCGTGTATAATAAATAATATAAAAGACATATATTTGACGGCTGTCAAAATTAATATTGATAGATTTTAAAGAGAGGTAGACCTTTGTAATTTGAATAGTTTTTGCTTAAAAAGATTTGTGTGGAATAGATTTACTACCTCTTGCAACGCTCAGTAGAATGAAAATGTGGATTCATAAAAGCCGGCCCAAAATTGTTAGAATGGGGCTAATGATATTGATTATTACAGTGATAATGTTGCATCTTTGGAACTTCTCTTAAAGTTCTGCATTGTTTCTTCAATACAGGGATTTTGAGTCTTCAGTTTCATTGCATGATATGGTAAAGGATGCTTATATACTCTGGCTTGAAACCGTCATTTTCTCCTAGTTTACTTTTTTAACGACACATTGTTAGGCCACTTTGCAATCCTTCTTATTGTTTCCTGCTTTGTTCAAATATATGTATGCAATTCATTCATCCCTTTTTTGTGAATGCCTTGATTCATCTTAAATATGTTTATAAGTGAACCTCGCTGCTGTGCCTTAACTGGGGCTAAAATATAAAAAGAAGATGAAAGCAAAAATGGCTGAAAAGGTTCAGCAAGGAAGATAACTATTTGTTTCTAAAATTTTCCAAAAGGGTTATGTAAGTTCCAAGGGAAGGTTGGCTGGCTGGAGGGAGGAGGTGGGGGGGCAATATCTGGGTTTTTTTTGTTTTTTTTTATTTTTAAACTTTATCTTTATTTTTAAACTTTTATATGGATAACTAAATTTATTTGTGTAAAAAATGCTTGCTTTATTAGTCCTTTTTTTGGTCTACAGATGTATCAAAAGTGCGGGCAGCTGGAAAAAGCAGTTGGCATCTTAGAGGATTATATTAATGATCATCTTGTTGAAGCTGATATAAGTATGTTTGACCAGCTGATTTCCTTGCACATGGAAAATAGTTCATATAGCAGTGCTGTTCAGCTGATTGAGAAGGCAAAATTAGCCTTTGATTCAGACAAAGAGTTGCCATTTTGTTTGAAAGCTAGAAAGGCTGTTTGCCATGCGCATCTAGGAAACCTGGGAATCGCTAAGGTGTGATTTACCTGCTTTATGCTGAGAAGTTTTTGACATGAACTTTGTGATGGTCTATTAATGCTTTTTAAACATTTTTCTATGCATTGTTCAATCTTATTTTAATTTTGTTTCCACCTCATATTTATCATTGAATTGAGTTTTGGCTTTCACTGATGCGCTACAATTATTTCTTGTTGATTCCTCTGGTTCCATAACCTGTGTAGCCATTTCATGTTACAATATTTGTGTATTCTAGACTACTCTCTCTCAAGTTATCATCACCATTACTACTATTATTATCTTTTTATTTGAGGGCTATGATGTGCTAAGTAAGATCTAAAATTTGTCAGGATTTTCTTGAAGATTTACGGATGGGGAATTTTGAAAACCACTATGACTTGGTTAATGAAGTTGCTGATACATTTCTAACTCTTGGTCATTACCAGTATGCTTTAAAACTGTACTTGATACTTGGTGGGACAACTGGTAATGAAAAAGTAAGTTTATTTCCTTTTACATTTATGAAATCCATTATGTGTGGGTTAGTCGTTATTATTGTTATTATTTTTATTATTATTATTTTGTAATAACTCATTTCTTGAATTTTTTTCTGAATTGGATATAACTCGTTTATTAGTTGTTTTCCTGAAGTGAATATATATGCTTAATTAGCTGGTTTTACATGCATTTGTTAATCAATGAAGCTTAACAGCATTCGTTCTTCGTTAGCTGCTTATTTACATAAAGAGTATTGCTACGTGTATTTACCTTAACATATTTATATTAGTTTTATTATTTAACATTATATGTGTCATGGAAAGTTTCCCATATTCTAATTTCTTTGAGCTAGAAGTTGCTTCTGAAAATATTTTAAGTCTGATTGCATTTTTAGAAGCTTTTTATTTTGATTTCGAAATATCTAATATCTCCTCTCCCAATGGTGGCCAATTTTCAATTTCTTTTTTGTTCTCTTTCGGGAGTAAATCTTAGGAAATATGTCAATGAATTTTTTTTGTTTTTGGCAAGTTACTATTGAAGCGCTCTAAACAATGGCGCAATAGAGGTGAACGATTCAGTTAAACATAATTCTCGCCAACATTAATTCTGATTAGCACAAATCATGACTTAGTTTGTGACAAATTAGTCTCGCTCAATAATTGTAAAGATTCACAATCTACTTCGATTCAAATTTATTCACATTCTCAACAGAGGGAAACTTGAATAATAATATTACAAAATATTTACACATCCTTAAATGTCTTCACAACCCTTTCAAAATTTTACAACTCGAACATTGCACAATGTCATACTTGGCTAATCGCCCTGTGCTTCTTAACTCTCCCTAAAAACTAACAACATATAAAGTGAGCTACAAGCTCAATGAAATAATCAGTGCTCAAGTAAAATTTTATAGATTAAATAAAACAATGTGCATGCTCAACCATGACTAATATGAGTGACAATAGTACTTAATAAACATATTTTAATCACATGAAATATATTAAAATAAGGGTATAAAAGCTGTAAGCAGTAAACAATAAATAACTGTAACAAACATATATTTCATTCGTTCCTTGTACAATCATATAAATGTATTTAATTAATTTATACTCGATGTCCGTCGTCTTGGAAATATCACTTGTATACTAAATTTATTTCTTTGGGTCGTAGCTACAACTACTGATAAATGTTGGTCGTCTCCCAACATATAAATTATCAACAACTCCCTAGTACCAAAAGGTCCATTTCAATCTAAATATAAAGTGTCGGGAATTCTATAAGTTTTTCTATAGGTATAAGTATACATGTAAGCAATTGGTTTAATGATCATGCCCACCAATTCATTAAAAGCACAGTAAAATTAATAATATAAATAGTAATTACTCATATACATTTGTATGACACAACAACAACAACAAAAACATAGATTATTTTTCTATCTCATTTACATTTGTATGACACAACAACAACAACAAAAACATAATTTCTTTTGGATGACAAACTTAGTTCACCAATAACATTCAAGCCTTTCGAATTCAGCAGAAAGAGCCAAACGATCTCCAAATAACCCACCAACAGGCCCACAGGTGGGGGATAAAAAGAAGCTGACCTATGCCTACTAATCTCACGGCTAGAGGGCAAAACCGAAAGCCACAAGGGTAGTGTCCACCGAACAAGGCTCACGGCCAAAGTAGCAAAAGGAAAATCAACTCAAGCATTGCCAAAGTATTGCCTTTGACATATATAAGAGAGTGAATGGACAAGCTTTCATAAATCATCTAAACCGGCTCCAACTTCACCCAGTAAGACATAAGGAAAATGCTCAATTCATTTTTAATCACCTCACTCTATAGGTAGATAGTGCAAATATACTTTTGGATGCATAAAAAACATTCAAGCTACTCAGACCCAACAAAAGAGCCACACTATCCCAAGCAACCTCTTAATAAGCTTACGGGTAGGCATAGGAGGGTACAGCCACCCAACAAGCCTCTTGAATAAGGACAACACAAATCACAAACCTGGCCATCGGGCAAGGGTTTAAAATGAGCCAAACCGAGCCCTAAACCAAGGCCAAAAAAAAAAAAAAAAAAAAAAAAAAAAAAAAAAAAAAAAAAAA